ACCGGTAATAAAGTGCAACGCGCGCTCGTCCGGAGCGGAAGTGTGCTTCAAGCTCTTGTGAGCTCGATTGTTTCTCTCAATTTGAAAATTATTTCGATGATCGGACGCGAGCGATCAAAAGTGACGCCCAAGCGATTTTTCGACCGATTCTTCGATATGACGAAGTGACAACTCTCCGGCGGTCGAGTGGAAAAGCGATTATGCAAAGCGGCTCGCGATGATGACCGGGTGACGACGACGATGCTTTCCTCGCTCCGATGAGAGACTCGTCGGGGGAGGCGATGCTAATTGACGATCGCGCGGAAAGCGATTCTGGAGCGAGAGGAGGATCGACACCCAGCTCGACTGAGTGGAAAATGCTCGGACATTTTGGTAGCAACGAGAGCATATTGGGTTATCTCACGGTCAAAGGTACACATTCTCTTGTTTACTTGCCGGACTATTGTTTTCCCGCACTTAATTTACGGGAGTAACAATTTCCGCGATTAAACAATCGTTTTAATTTAATTTGAACAATCTGTCAAAAGCCTCTCTTTCAAATAAGAAAATTTACGACTGTAACAAAAAAAATCCAAATAGCTACCGTAATTGTGTTAGACAGAAAATTCGAAGGCAACCGCGACGTGTCGCAGCACATTATCGGTTACAGACTTCACGTGATCGAACACCCGAACGAGTCGACGTCGTAAAAGTTTCTCGTTATACGACCGCGATAAGCGCCGAACCGGAGTGTTCGTCGCGAAAAGAGCAGTTTTCTGACTCGCTCGGCCAAATTTACTCGGTAATTTAGCACCGCGTGCATGTATACTATATAACGGCATGAATTCGTAAATTGGCCGAGTCACACTTGCGCATTCGTCTGTGTGATAACTTTATTGTGTGTCTCGACTTAGAAAGTCTCGCTATAGAAAGCTGCTTTTTACGGTTAATTATTGTTGCGAGAAGGGAGCGCGATAAGTTTCGACCGATCGTTATCGAACAACGCGCCGCGCGGTTTTTTTTCGATAATATTTTTTCCGCTAGTTCGCGAGTTTTTTTTTTCACAGCTGCGCGCTTCGAGGCGCGTTGGAGTTTGCCGCGGTTGTAAATCTGATACGAGTTTTATAAAACTGTTTATTTTATTTTATTTTATTTTTTTTTTAAGTGCCCGTGCGTTACCGCTCCGGAACTGCTGTCGTAAACCCGAAGTGTGAATCTTTTATGCAACGGCCTACAGTTTCATACAAATCCCGCGGCGGCACTTGCGCCTCGTTCGCGATCAAATTTAAAAGGGATTCGCAAATCCCGTGAAAGGTCCAAATACATTTATCCCAAATATAAGGGTCTCTTTCGTCGCGGAAGCTCTTTTTTAACAATTCGCAATTTGCGCGAGAGCTTTTTAACTAATTGTTAATTTACTTCGTGCAACCTAATTTGTTATGTATTTTCTCTCACGATAGATTTCGTCTCACGCACTTCGCCTAAGGTTGTAAAATTTCTCATCAATCGTTTTATTTACAATATTTCCGATTGCGATATCTATAATGCGTGTATTTGTAAACGGAATATAACTCAAATACCTTGGCTGTGCGATCGTTCCCGTGTTTGCTCGACATTTATCATTTTTTCCGACGACCCTTTCCCCGATAATGGCGCGATCACGCGCGCGCGAGACTCGAGTCGTGAAAGCCCGGCATTGTGTGCCCGTTCGTTCCCCAATCTTATATTTCCTATTTTTCTTTACCCTCTCGCCACACGACAGAGAAAGTGATCGATACGCGCGTCTACGGATGCGCGTAGTTTTTTTTTTGTCAGTGCGAATGTCCGATACAAATCTCTTCGTCGTTGTGTAACTCCGTCGAAAAGACGAGAGTGTCTCGGGTGTTTTTTTTTATTATTATCGTGAGAGACAACTGTGTAATATTTCCTTAATCATATCATTAAGACAAGTATGTCAGGAGACGTATCGTTAAGACAAATAGTTGAAATTCTTTGTTTCCGAAAGAATTCGATCGTTTAGATAGTATCAGGTAATTTTTTTTTTTTTTTTTTTTTTTTTTTTTGTTTCGAATGTTTTTTCGTAATGTTTGTCACTCGCGCGTTTACGGAGCAGCTCCGATAAAAAAAAAAATTAAACACATTCCTGTGAGGAAACGCACAATCAGCTGCAAAGGAACATTCCTTCCGAGTTCGGACAATATTTCGCGTATGCGGAGGATTTTTTATTGCGGATTTTCTTCGAGTTTCCCAGTTGACAAATTTTTTTCTCACAATTTTGCAAAAGTCTAGTTTGTTGTTTTTATATTTTACGGTTAATAAACTTTTTTATATTTCCTTGGTTCCCGTGAATGCGCGCGATTTCTTTCGTCGAGATTCTTCTTCGTTCGAAGAAGAATTGTGCGTCATCGAAAGCGATTCGATGACGCCGTCGGGAAAGAACTCGTTCGCGTGCGTTTCTGCTCGAGTAGTCTTATGAATACGAACGGCCGGTTGTATCAATCCTCGTCGAGGTGTTTACGAGCCACGAGACCGCGCGCTGTGATCACAACGTTACTTTCGCATAACGTTGCCATAACGGTAATATCTCGCACCTCTTGCAACTCGCGCGCGCTCTCGCTCGCTCGCTCGCTCCGCGGCTCCGCGTGGAAAGTGCCACGCACCGGTTTCATTTTCATTCACCGCGCCCCGTAACTCGTTTCCTCTCAAGAAATGCCGCGCTGCAACTCTCGAGAGAGTCGCACTTTTTCCTCGATGAGGAAGACCGCACTTGTTCTCTCGGTGTCATCGATAGTTTTATTTGTATCTCTTCAAACCTGCGTGTATTTTTCGCAGCTCTTGAACATTGCAACTTCAAGTGTTGGAATATACAACACGAATTCAACTTTGCTAACGTTTTTATTTACATAATTGCTTTCGTTCGCGAGCAGAGTTCGTTCAACATCATTTTCAGCGCAATTAATACACGTCGCGTTCGATAAGAAACGCGCGATGGCGCAACCGGCTTTAACCTTAATTTAACTTTAATTCTAAAACTTGCTTTAGATTATTTTTGTCTTTCAAAACTCGCTTCAGAACTAAAATAAATTAAACAAAATTTTATCTTTTATTTTTTAGTATTTTATTCTATTTTTTGTTAAACAACTAACAAGAGGATATTTGTAGACACTTGACAGAAGACATAAGAATTTTTGCAAAATTGTTTTAATATTCAAAAAAAAATAAATAAATAAATAAAATGCGTTGAACATGCGATTCACTTTTAAAGGTTTCGAGAAAACGGCTTAGAATTAAAATTAATTGCTGATTGTTCTCTGAAATTTTTTTTTTTTCGTTTTATCGCGAAGTAACGTGATCACCGCGACAACGTGAGAAATTCGAGGACGAGCCCGCGAATCTGCACGATAAACATTCGCGAGATTCGCCGGCTAGTCTTTCGCGACGTCGGCGTCGGCGGTTTGTTCGCGGTAATGTCGCGCGCTGCTCGGTGACGATTCGTGCGCGATATTGTTCGCATTCCACGAGACGCACGTCACTCTTACCGAGCAGTCGACCGAGGAGTCTTATTCTCAAAAGCCGCAGAAAATTGCACGTTACACCTTACGCGCGCGATGTAGCAATAGGTGCGATGTAATGTAAAGGCGAGAGAGAGAAAAAAAGAAACACATTGCCTTATCGTTTATTTCGCTCCGTGTAACAACTCTAGAGAGAAAAAAATACAAGAATTTTTGAAGTAAGTTTTAAAACTTAAAATAAGCCTAGAAGCTAGCGTCGAACGCAGCTAATGAGAAATTAGGAGGTGAAAAAAGACACTCAGTTAATGTTAGGGATTCGATCATTTGTTCTGATTTTATCAGAAATGTGACAATCCTCTCCATTCGTCCGATGGATGTAAATATTCACTGATTTTATTTTATATTTTTTTTACGTAACACACAAATTTGTTTAGTATGAAAAAAAAAAACAGAACGATTAAAAGTAGACAAAAAGTAATTTAGTAGGTTTGAGTAAAATTGACATGTGACCCGATCTAATGAAGCCCTTGACTTTACATCGGTCGTAAAAGCAAGCTTGACACCAATTCGCGTGTTATTATTTGCGACACGTCACATTTTTTCTGTTTTTTTTTTTTTGTAGATATATAATGTATATCTGACGCTTACGTGTAGTATTAGACCTCGTTCACGCACATTGTATTTAAAAAATTCGACGAAATGTTGACGCCTTTACACACATTACATTTAGATATATATTTATTTTTACTTAATAGACTGTATATTTCATTGTTGTTTTAATTAAGTAGATTGGAAGTTCCCGACATCGTTCGTTCTGCAACCTATCGTGGTTTTCACTACACGAACGAGATAAAATGACGGAAAAAACACCGTTTTTGTATTACAAAAAATTTTTAATCAATATGTTATATATATAACACATACGCGTATCTTTTTTGGAGCAACTCCCATGACCACAATCCTACGATTATACTTATTGTGTTTTTCTGATTATTGCAAGCACGACGCTGCGCAGAAATATTCGCGAAGACAAACACGCGCGCGAAACACACTCGCGTGCGAGACATACTCGTGGCTCGGAGTTGCTAGCTGTTAATTTTGTCGTTAATTACGGGAACGACCTCTCCGTGCGTGTGCGTGCGATATCACGTACCGATAGCAATCCGCGATAATTGTAGCGTTTGCGGTACGACTCGAGTGTGCGTAAGAACAGACACACGAATTCGAATTCGCGTTCGTCATTTTCCGAGAAATCGCGGCGCAGACTTTCCTGATCAGTCGTAAAACCAATAATGCAGACGCAAATTGATAATGCGCGCGAAATGACACAACAGATAAGATACACGCGACATGTATCCCCCTATCAATCAATCTTACGTTTTATAAATGTTACCTAAACGCGAGAATTTAATTGACGCGCAAAGATGACGACGGTAAAGTTAAGTACATAAAAAAAAAAAATATAATAACTGATGATGTGTAATCAAATACATTTCGATTTTTTTTCAGATTCCCAGGATGTCGATCTCGATGCGATCCTCGGTGAATTGTGCGCCCTGGAACGACGCTGCGACGGCGACATCGCCGCCACTCCCGCGCCGGATTCACAAAGGCCGGGACGACCGACCAGCGCGCGAATCAATCCGGGAGATAACACGGACATTAAAAATGAAGGAGGTGCGTGAAAAAGAAAGAGTTTGCGATATATTGTTCTATGTGTTGTTGTAAAATTTAATTATGTGTGTATTTTTTTGCAATGGATTTTTTTTTTTTTCAAATTCAAGAAAGGAGTTTTTTCTTTTATTTTCGAGATGCAAGCGTCTAATGTGGTTTCTCGAATTAATTTTCGTTGCAGGTATGCGCACCGACAGTCCCGACAATGACAGCGCATTCTCGGACACAGTATCCATGTTGTCTAGCGAAAGTTCGGCAAGTAGTAGCGGTTCCGGACACAAACCACCTCAAACCGCCATGCACACGGCTCCTCAACAACAACCGCATCAACTTGTCGGTGAGTCCTCGCATTTATCATACCGCGACAAAATCTCTCGGTGATTTCAAAGACAAATTAGTTTGACTAAAATTTTCTTAAAGTTTCAATTTTTTTCTTAAATTTTCTTAATTTTTAAATTAGTTTTCTTAATTTTGTTTTTTATAAATTCTCTATTTTTAAATAATATTTTATAAAAATATTTTATATATACATTTCGTACAAATGATTGTACGACATGATGGTACGACTATCATCGTGAAGTATATTTTTTTGTGATGATCACGCGAAAAGAGAGAGAGAAAGAGAGAGATGTGTATGTTTTTGTTCTTGTCTTCGCGCACAGATGCAGCGAGCAGAGCAAAGGCAGAGAAGATCCGTCTGGCACTGGAGAAGATGCGCGAAGCCAGTGTACAAAAGCTCTTCATCAAAGCTTTTACGTTGGACGGTAGCGGGAAGAGTCTTCTGGTCGACGAGGGAATGAGCGTCGCGCACGTGTGTAGGTTGCTCGCGGACAAAAATCACGTGCCAATGGATCCGAAGTGGGCCGTGGTCGAACACTTGCCTGATCTCTTCATGGGTGAGCATAATCTATCTTCTACATAAAGAGAGACAACGCTGATTGCCGAACTACTACCGTAACTTTTCTACAAATGACGATTTGATCTTCCTCTTGTTTAATATTTAGATGTTAAAAATTACACGCAACATATTTTTATAAAGTTATTTCGGTTTTTCGGCGTTACATTTTCTGAAAAATGTGTCGCATGAAATTTGTTACATTGACGTCAATTTTTTGAAAACTAAAGTTGTTTTTTTTTTTTTCAATCAAACGAGCGAGTTTTCGTTTATTTAACGAATTTTTGCAGAGAGAGTCTACGAGGACCACGAGTTATTGGTGGAGAATCTTTTACTGTGGACCAGAGACTCCAAGAATAAACTGCTCTTCGTCGAGAGACCGGACAAAACTCAGTTATTCCTCACGCCCGAACGGTTTCTGCTTGGTCCTTCGGATCGCGGTGGCGGCGAATACGACGACCACTTGAGAAATATTGTACTAGAGGAGTTCTTCTCGAGCAGCAACGTCGGCATGCCCGAGGTAATTGGCGAAATGACATGTTTACAATCTTGTTGCCGTCATCTTGGCATCCAAAAGAGCGAGAGAAAGAGAGAGAGAGAGAGACGTCACTCTCGGTAACGAGTTCTTTCGCTGCTGCCGCACATCCTGCTCTTCTTCCGCATCGATTGCCATTCTTGCCTTTTCAGGTCGAGGGTCCTCTATACTTGAAATCGGACAGCAAGAAGGGTTGGAAGAGGTATCACTTCATTCTACGAGCCTCCGGTCTCTATTATTGGCCGAAGGAGAAGGCTCGCACCGCTCGGGATCTCGTGTGTCTGGCAACTTTCGACGTTAATCAGGTTTGTCACGTTTTTCATGTGCTTTTAAAAGAGAAATTTCAGTAATTGCAACAGAACACACAGTCGAATGCTTTTTTATTATATTTTTTTCAAAATTATGTTTTAAGATCACTTGGTTGCGCACATTGTTTTCTTTCATTTATGTTTATTTTCTACGAAACTGTTGACAATTTTACAAATCACTTTCTATTCACACTTTCCGGAAGAGATATTTTTATTTGTTATCTCTCAGGTTTACTACGGCGTCGGTTGGCGAAAGAAATACAAAGCGCCCACCGATTTCTGCTTCGCCGTGAAACATCCGCGACTGCAACAGCCCAAGTCCACCAAGTACATCAAATTCCTGTGCGCGGAGGACAACGCGTCTCTGGAGCGATGGATGGTCGGGATTCGCGTGGCCAAGTACGGCAGGCAACTGATGGAAAATTACCGAGCGCTCGTAGATGAGCTGGCGCAAGAGGATCTGGATCTGCTGGCGCACGCCAGATCGTGTTCCGTCAGCTCTATCGCGGCGCCACCGAATCAGACCCAATATAACACGACGAATGATAACGCGAGGCAGTTTGCCGAAAACGTGAGGCACAGCAACGAAACTACGGTCGCGCAGACAAGACAGTACGACGGTCAAAGGCAGAGTTACAATTCGGAACAACGACAGAGTTACAACAACGATGGCAGACTGAGCAGAGCGAGCAGCTCTAGCTCCAGCGGATGCTTGTCCGACGGGGCACCGAGTAGCTGTGAGGTGAATATAATCACGCGCTATCAAAGTAATGATGAAACTCATGAAATTAATCGTTTCAATGTTATCGCGCGATTGCGCGTAATTATGTAATTTTTATATTATTGCGATAATTAGGTGGCCTTCGAATGTGGTGAATTTCCGACCGGCACGATAAAGCGAAAACCGTCAATGAATCCGAAGTTGCCTCTCACGTCGATCACTAGGCAGTTGAAGGAGGTCGGTGAAACCGTGCGAGACGAACCGGATTCCTGTCCGAGTCCGACGAGTTCGGGATCGGGCACGCTGACCAGAAGACACAGTCGTCGGCGAAGCGGCACCGATTCCGATGGCTCCGGAACGCTTAAGAGACATCACAGATCTGGAAACGCAACACCCGTTAGTCCTGTGCCTCCCGGTACACCGGTGAGGGAGAGAGCGAGTCCAATGGGATATAACAGATCGGACAGTCAGGAGAAGACGCCGACGAGTCCGATACAATCGTGTATGGTATGTGTATGACGTCTTTGTGGTGTGATAAACCTATGATTATGATTTTAAACGATATTGTTTAATACGTACGAAAACTTTATACGCATTGCAGATGGATTCGATAACTTCACTGCCGCCACCACCGTCGCCGTCGAGAGTCACCGAAGAAGTTGAGTCCGACAGCGAGCCACTTCCACCGCCGCCACCCGAGATGTTTCGGTCGAATCTCTCGCTTGATTCTCTCCCGCCGCCACCCGCGCCAGGCGAACTGCCAGTTTGCAACACGCCAGAACTCACAGGCTCCTCGTTGAGTCTCGCGTCTCTGCCGCCACCGCCCAGCCCTCTGGTTGGCGAAACCGGAACGATACGTCGAGCTAGACCCAAGCAGTCCACTCCCACGAACTCTATTACCCCGGAAAATACACCCACGCACACTCCCAATCTCAGATCGCAGTCGAATCAAATGTACGCTAACGCGAACAGTGTTACGGTTAACAGCAATTCAATCCAGAATTCCAATCAGAATTTCAATTCGAACGCGTCTCCGAACGCTCACGTTAACAATAACGCCAATTCCGTACCTTCTCCTCACAGTTCCTATCCGGGATCGACGGCGAGCACGCCGACGTTCACACCGAGCTCGCCGAGCTTCGCCGCACCGCCGCCGTTTGTACCACCGCCGGCTTACGGTTCCCAACAACCGCAACACTCCCAGAGTCTCGGCAGACAGAACTCCAAGTCCGAATCGGTTTACGCGAGTCACGGTCCTCATCATCACACCATCAATGTCGTGCAACCCATCAGGCCGAATCCGAACATGGATACCGTGCGACGCAGCGCCATGAAGCAAGGTAGCGGTCATTACGCGGCTCCACCCTATCTGGCCGAGCTGAAAGCGGCCTCGAGTCCGCAGCCGCAACGTCGGGTAACCATTCAGGAACCCCCGACGTCGCCCAAGTCGAAGACCGGAACCGGTAAGAAAATCACGTTCAATTTGCCTCCCCAGCAAGAACCCGGAAGTCCCGCTCTGCCACAACGTAAACCCACGCCGCCTAGACGATCCGACAGCACCAGACTCACGTCGCCGAAGAAACTGGCCGCGTCCGATCAAGCGCCGCCGGGCGACTTCCTGAAGGATCTCCAGAGAGTGATGAGGAAGAAGTGGCAGGTCGCGCAAAAGTGCAAGCTAGACTCGACGACGACGCCGCACGAGGTGCTCGGTTTCCGTGATCCGCCGCCAGCCGTGGCGGACTACAGGGAAACCAACGTGTCCAACTGGGTGCAAGAACACTACGGCGCGGACAATTTGTACGAGAACGTGTACGCTACGGATCCGCACGGACCGGTCGAGTACGCGTCCAGTCCGGCGCGACAGCCGACAGTGAGGTTTGCCGATGAGAATCGCAGTATAAACATCGTGAACGCGATCGCGGGCAAGAGGAGACCACCGCCGCCGCCGCCGAAACGGGCCGAGACCACACATCTCACCACTACCAGGGCGATGCACTGACAATAGCAGATAATTCAGCCTCATCCCGAGAGGCGATGGTACTGCTGTCTCTGCGGCTGGTGGAAGGACTGAGAAGAGTGCGGGGGACGGCACGCGACCGTTCCGGGATGCCGGCTACGTTGAGTCCACGTGTGTTTATAGCTGCACTTTCTTTATCCGAAGAATCGAATCGATGAGACGCAGGAGAAATGCTTCTTCGGTTGTAACAAGAAGGATTATACACGTTTTCGTTGCACACTTTGTTGTCGAGCTCTACGTTGATAGATTTTATCTTTCGAATCGGGGGGAGTTTGTTGTTCAGGTTTGAGCGAAATAATAATATATCTGCCAACTCGGATTTGGCTCTCTCCGTAACAAAATTGATTGACAAACTGAATGTCAATCGAAGGAAAATGAGATTACGGAAAGTTCTGGACGAATTACAGAAAAAAAAAAAAAAAAAAAAAATGATAAATCATCCTTGCATTATCGATGCGAGATTAGGTTTTTGATGCGGAAAATCGGTGGGAGGCGATTGAAAAAGACGTTCTTTTTGAGCAACGAATTAAACTCGAACGCGAGCCCGCAAATTTTCGATAGCGTTTATGATCACAATACATACAAGAAACACTGCCGCACATACATAAAAAGGATGTGATATATAAATGTTAAGCGATTAACGCCCGTGCTTTCGTGATCGGTTTGAGAAATGAAGAGACGACAAGGAGAAGCAGAAGACGCGACGCAATTTTCGACGGAAAAAAAATTAAAAAAAAAAAACAAAAAAACACAAAAAAAAGGGAAAATAGTCGAATCGCATTTTTCGGTCGAGAGTTCTATTTGTGCGCATATTTCATAACCGCTAACTGCCTCGTCTGCGATTTTCTCAAGTATACTCTCTTGTGGATGTGATAAAAGTAATATTAAAATTTAAAATTATATATATATATATATATACACACGCGCGCGCGCAAAGTATAATCTATTAAGATATTTTTCAAATTTGAATCGTTCGATTGCTAATTAAAAAAAAAAGTAACTGAAAACATTGAGTTCGGCACTTGACTTAAATTTATTTTCCGACAAGCGTTTTTGTTTTTTGTTGTTTTCTTTTCAATTATATCGCTTCAGAGGCGTCGCAAAAACATTTTGCAACATATATTTGTTTTTCTAATAAATTTTACCCCGCGAACGAGGAGAATTAATATATATATATATATATTTTATATAATTTGTACATGAGAGCAAGTTTGTTCTTCGCTTTTTCGAAATAAAAAGCTTGATTCGGATTCTATATTTCCCCTCCCCCGCCCCCCACCCTCCCCAAAGATTATCGTAACGAAAATCGATCGCATATATTCTATAATGTGTAAACTGCAGCGCTGAAGAAAAGAAAAGCCGACGGAAAATTCTGTTCCCGGCGCGAAGCGAAAGTGATCTCACTTGGTACTGTGAAAACACGAACACCTTTCGCACAGCGAGAGTTTTTTTTTTTTAAACGACGCGAGAAGAAGCCAAGTTTTATGAGAGTACCATTTTTCGACGCGCGATTACATCCTTGTGCATAGATATATATGTATATAAACTGATTGCGCGTTTGCATCGGACTTGTGTGTGTGTGTGTGTGTGTGTAGTTATTGTCATACAATCCGAACACACACGCTTCGGAGCGCGGACGTGATGAGGATTAAACGTCCGTGGCGTTCGTCGAACGCGCCCGATGTGTGACGACGAGCGTGTCTTCTCGTCGAAGTGCGACACACCCATCACGTGTGTCGCGCGAGATCTCGTTTACGCCATTTCCTTTTTGTTCGACGGGGAAAATAACTCGTCAAGAGTCTGCGCGAGTGTTTCGGACGGACGAGATGAAAGGAAAACCTCGTCTTCGGCGATTCGGCCGGAGATAAGTAGATGAAAAAAAAAAAAAAAACAAATACCGCCAAGAAACGTCACATATCGCGCGAACGCGCGCGTCATTCGATTCGTTTGTCTTGGCGGTTTTCGACTGCTCCTTCCCTTCTTGTTGTTTCCAAGACGTTTTAGAATTAGATCGCGTCACGTGCGAACTTGTTTCGCCGAGATCGCGGAGAAAGTGAAAAAAATACGCAGCGAGATCGATCGTCGCGTACAGTCTCCACAGTACACACAGCAAATGACGAAGAAGAACAATTATATCATTCAGTATATACAGCTTCCCGTTTGTGATCGCCAATGGAATCTTCAGCAACGACTAGCCGAGCCTTTATCGAGGGGGTCACGTAGTAGCTGATGTAGTTTTATATCTCGATTTGTATCTCGCATATTTGCATGAAACTTTACATGTGAACGTTTGTAATCGGACTCTCTTCTACGAACTCTTATACGATGCGTACTGTATCGTGTCGAATTTTTTATATACATATATATTATATATATAAAAAAAAAAAAAATGGGGAACCGCTCGAGCAAGCTCGTTGGTGCGATGTGATTTCCGTATAAGAAAGTATTTTATAAGATCGAATTTTGATACGCAAAGAAATATTTCGCCGTAGCCGTTGTATGTGATTAAGAAAAACACCACATCGTCGCGAATGGCGACCGATTTTTGGGAAAAATGTCTTTTGATGTTCCCGTTTTTCTGAGAAAAAAAAACAAACAAAAATTAGCGCGATAATCTTCAAGTAAACTCTAAACTCTACTGAAAAATATAGAAAAGATACGCCAAGTGTCTATACAAGTGGCTTTTCAATCAACTTTCGCGAGACAGTAGTTCGGTCGACATCAGATCACTTCTGATTCGTCGTTATTTTTGCTCTAAAAAAAAAAAAAAAACCGATTTGTGCGAGAACTTTTCCAATTCTGTCAAGAAAGTGTCGTGTGTGTCTGTGCGTGAGAACTTTTTCCAGTTTTATAAAACGTTTTTATAACCGGTTTTTACGCCGATTTTCACGCCGTGCCTGTGCGCGAAAAAAACTTTTTCCCGATTATTTCAAGAGACTCTCGCCACGTGGTCGCACCGACGTGTCTTCTCGAAGCGAGCGCCGAGAGAGAGAAGAGAGCGAGCACGAATCTGCGTAAACTGTAAACACAATCGAATTACTTAAATAACGATAGTTAAACAAGAGAAATAAAACCTCTAACACTTAAAGCGAGAAACCGTCGTATGTCGATGTGTCGATTTTCAATTGTATCGTCCCGCCTTTTATGCGCGGTTTAATCAAACTGAACCAATAATATTAAAATGCATTTTTGAGACTAATGTAACGATTTTACAGAGACTAAGCCTGACTACACTGATGATGATGATAATGGTGATGATGATGATGATGATGATGATGATGATGATAATGATGATAATGATTATGATGATGATGAAGAAGATGATGATGTGACTTTTCATATGTAAATTTTTACGATATATATTCTTTCCGTATAAGTACGATAGTAGTATCAGTGCTCTTATGCTTGAAAACAGAAACGATGACGGAAACGAAAAATCTGCCTTGAAAATTTAGAACTCGTCGACAAAAACAAAATATCGAACGTTCTGGTGAAACCGATACATACGTGATCAAAGATCTTTTTTTAACCTTCACAATGCTCACTGGGGTCTAAAAGACGCCGTCAGAGTTAACACGATTCTTCAAAGAATGAAAATAATTTTATTTAAAATCTTTATAAGAAGAAAAATAATTTGTATATAATTTTTTTGTTAATTTTCATTGAAGTCTCTTTTGACAAGGTATTTTGTTTGATTTTTAATTTTCTTCTTGTTAATTCAAATCAAAATTGACATGTAATTAAATTTTTTTTTTTTAGTTTCTTCCCTCTTCTCCCTGTAGATTCCACCAGGCACAGTGAACAATTTTCGCTTGTGAAGGTTAAACATGACGAAAATGATAACAAGTGATTTTATTGACCTACGTACTATTGGTAGGAGAGACGCCATAAAATTGCAATAAAATATATTTTTAGCGTCAAATTTCAAATATATTTTATTTGTTATCTGATTTTATTGTTTATAGATATATATATATATCTTTTTCTGTCTTTTTTATAGTCTAATATATCTCTATTTTCTATCTTTATTTTCTACTACAATCTTTGTTTGTCGCGTTTTCAAATAACAACATTGCTGCTCACATGTCGCCGATTCCCAAGCAGACGAGAACTGGTACAAAAACTCGTGGAAGAAGATACTGGCGTGCTGAGATGGAAATTTTTTCTTTTTTTTTTTTTTTTTGTCTTAACTCATATTTCTTAAGAATCGAGCGCGAAACACTCGAGACGTTCTGAACTAAGATAGCTTTAGGTATATTCAATGTACGCGTGTGCTGCCGGCTTGATTTTTGAGACGAAAGAGTCAACCGATTGTTTGAAATACACAGAAGCGTACTTTTGATCGAAGCTTTTATATCGTAATAATACAAACGTATCAGTGCAATTGGCAAGTTGGAAAATCAACTGACGTAACAAATTTCTGATACAGGATGAGAAATTGTAACAGCGATTATCGATTACTAACAGAAATAATAATAATAATTTTATTGTATTCAGGGAACCGGCTTAGAAATAAGAAAAAACCTAATGAGACGAAGAGTAGCTGCGATTTTTTAAATAATTTTTTTTACTTTAAATATTGAGGGTGCGAAACAAAAACCAATTTAAAAGTATTCGAATAAGCGTTATTTTTTTTTTTTTTTTTTAAGTAGAAAAATAGGATAGAAATCCGTTAAGTCGGTCCCCGATTGTATCGTACCTTTTTTTTCGATTACATTTTTATTCTAAGTTGTACGTATAGTTCTGTAAATATTGTAACGAATGACTAGTACTACTACGGAGGAAAACTACTTGTTGTCAGTGATGTTGCGCGGCGATGACACGTAACACGTATGTTTACGTTATTTACGAGGGAGAAGAAAGAGAAACGTGGGAGGGGAAAAAGAGCAAACCCGTTCGAGAGAGAAAAAGAGAGAGAGAGAGAGAGATAGAGAGCGTGAAGAAGATCTAATCCCCTGTGAGAAGACGTGGAGGGGGACTTTTATTGAGTTTCAATTTGGCTCAATCAGTCGCTAAACGATCGGTTTATCGCGAGAAACGAGACACGCATCTCGGAGGCGCAATGCGTTTGCGTCGCTACGCAAAACAATGTAAGCTTAAAACTTAATTAGACTCTCTGGGTCGTTGCGAGTTATTCTTTCTCTCTCTTTCTCTCTCTCTCTCTTTCTTCCTCTCTGTGTGCAGCAGGTGTTTAAAAATTGTGACAATACCATTATTTCATGACTCAACGCCAGTTGTTTAGGTATATATGGACACGTACCGAGCGAAAAAAAAAAGAAAAAAACAAAGAAATGCGCAGCAGTTGAAATATTATAGGTATTATATTCATGTTTTTATGTAAATAAATTTTTGGTATATTTCAATGATCGACGGACTCGTGATCAATTAGTTCACCCCTCTCTTTTACTCTTAGAAGATACATGTGTTTTTTAACAGACATATTTTTGTTGTAAATAGTTTATTTACGTTAGAAAAAATAATTTTGAGAAAAAATTTTATCAATTTGATAAATTGATACGAACAATAAAAAAATTTTATACAAAAGCTCTTTTCATCACGTACATACACAGAGTTTGGTAAAATAATATCACGCTTTTCTATATATTGCGTATATGTTGTATAGTTAGTAATTGAGAGACTGTTTCATATTTTTATGTAGATAATGAATAAAGTGTTTCTTCGTACAATAACATTACTTTCGATATTACTAACTATCGGTAATGCTTACTAACTGTTAGTAAATGAAATACACAAAACAATTTAACGAGAGTTATCAGAAACATCGAGTATAATAAAAAAAAAAACGCTACAAAAAATTATTTATCTTTCATTAACATTACACATTAGTAATTTCAAAATCATTTTTAAAATTTCACATCCAAAAGTGTTTTTTTATTATCACGTATAAGTTATTGCGTGTAATTATAACGCAATATAAATTTTTTTTCTTGTATTTTTACTTGAAAAAGATTTTTTTAGAAATTTAACTCTTTCCTTTTACATATTTTCGATCTTTTACGCGATTATGGTGGTTTTGCGCAACTCCCTTCCTCTCTTTTAGAATTTCAAACCAAGTGCTTACTCTTCTAGGGGCGTATAAGTGGCAAAAAGGCGCGCGTTTCCGGTCATAAAAGCGCCTTAATAAAATCTCCTCGTTTTTTAATATTTCCAAGCCGTGTGTGAGAGTACCGCGTGCTTGTACAACGTATACATAAACTTTCGCGGTATTGAATTTTCCAGCTTTTTCCACCGCGCCGTCTGACGAAAGACGTGTGTGTGTGTGTGTGTGTGTGTGTGTGTGTGTGTGTGTGTGCTTCGATATGTTTTTATTTTTATGATTTTTTTACTTTTACATTATACAACGCGATAGTTTGCGGTAACGAGCAGCGATTCATGATTCATCCGTTCACATAATTCTGGTCGCATTCTTTCCGTTGGTGTTTCTTTGTCACGACTGGCATGCAATTAAATCGGTCCATAAATACGCGATAAGCGTGATCACGTTGAATCGTACGACGTTTCGATTCGAAAAAAAAAATTGATTAGCCAATAGAATATATTTTATTTGTATTTTTATATTTCTTCTACATTTAAGTTATAAAACATTTAATATATTAGACAAACACTTATTAAGAAAAGAGAATGTAATAAGAATATGATCGATTAACTTAAATAAAAATCAAGATGAAAGAAATCAATAAACTTGTGAGAGAAAAAATCTGATATTGATTAAATTTAATTAAATTAATTTCCAGATATCGAATTATAGCCGTGAAATTTTAATCTCGATGCACACACACTAGTTTTTATTTTTTTTCTAAGTTTTTTTTATGTATACGAGCAAGAATCTAATTGAAGATTCTAGCAGATGAAAATTAAAACTTTGCGACCATCAAATCGAGTTAATAGATAATTATTCACACAGAAACCCCGACTTTACCCCGCGAAAATTATTGGCAATCGCGTATACACGCTCGCCTCGTTCCGCTTCATAACACGGGGAAGATTGACGCAAATATACGAAATTGCCCGAGCGTTGCGCGCGGAGGAGGTATACCGTTTTATGGGATTCTTTTTACGACTTACGGCAAGTCCTGCGTTCTACTTTGCGTTTACGTCATACGCGACCCTCGAGCGTTTACGCGCGCCGCTATTGCGAGCACGCAAGAACGGGGGAGAAGGACACAGGCAACACGTCGGGGCAAGGGGGATGTTTACGTGCCTTCGCCGTGGTATCGAGTACTCTCTCTGAAAAATTTCTATCTTCCTCGCTTTCCAAATTCTGTAAAAGTGTTCCACGTGCGCGCATAAAAACGCCCCTCTCTCTCGTTGCGTCACGCGGTCCACGAGTTTCGCGGAGTCGTAACTTGAACGCGCAATCTCCCCGCGACGCAAACGCGATAAAATGTTAATAAAATATTATTACAATCCTATCTCGCGGCTGTGTTTCGCATATTGTCTCGATGCGCAGATTTCAATATTAATAAAAAGTTATTACAGCGCGTTTACTTTTAAGGAGCGATCATCCTCTCGAAAGAGGAAACAAACGAGTTTGCCAAACAGAGTAAAACTCGACAAAATTAAAAACAGAACAACAGAATTTTAATATTTGAAACAATATTTAATATTTAACAAGGTAAGGGGAAATATTTAATATTTAATATAAACAAACAGAATTTTAATATTTTTTTCTTATCGCAAATTTCAAATAAAATAAATAATATAGAAAACTTTGCAAACATTCTTTCGAATGTCACATTTTGTTGT